AGTGTCCAATACATACGGCCGGATGTCAGATGACACGACTACAAAGTCGATCATTGACCTCCGGCCTAGGGTGTCCTGGTGCCAGGTGCACTGATGGACACCTTTATGCTTGAACATGGTGTTTGTTATGGACAAACTGTGACTAGCACAGAAGTCCAATAACAAAACACCACTCAGATTTAGATCGGGGAGGCCGTTCTTCCCAATCACGCCCCTCCAGGTATCGCTGTCGTTGCCCACGTGGGCATTGAAGTCCCATGAAGCCATCATTCTCAAATTCTGAATACCACTCAAAGATATTCATACCATCAAAAATTGGCTAATTAGTTAACAATAGATTGAAGCACAATTACAGACACCCAAACCCTTTATTATAGTAGAACTTCGGAATATTATCATTTTTGTATCAGACGATCAGCGAATAGTAGAATTGTATACTGATGTATCCCAAAACCTAAAGACTGATTTCGGTGTAACTGACCAGTTGGTTGCCAAGATGATTCTTCTGGCAAAGCAACTCCTCAACTTGCTTCAACAACTGGTCTTCCTGTTTCTTCTTTAGATCATGGTGCATCCTCTTCACAGCCAAATGTTCAACCTGAAGAAAAGAAAAAAACAAAAACATAAAGGACAAATTGCTGCTTTACAAGAGTTCTTCAAGAAAAGAAAAGGCACAGACCTAGCACGAGTCCAGGTGTGTGATTTAGTCAGAGACAACTTTTGTTTTCTTAAGCCTATTTTTAGTTAAACTAATTTACTTGCAAACTTTCAGTTCAGTTCACTTCAGGACACTTCAATCCATGACACATGCAGTTGAGGAGGGTGAATGTTTGTTGCTTTTAAAGTAAAACAGGAGCACTGTTTTTCAGTGTGTGCAATCAGCTTCAAACTTTTCTAAACACTGTAATTATCACGAGACAGCTTACATAAACTCTAGGGCATTACATCATATATGCGGTAAACACTGTGTGTTTTAAACACACCCTGCATAGCTGTATAATGTAAACAACTTAATGTTCCATCACAAACCTTGAACCAAGGTGACAGTAAAAAGATATACAGTTGTTCACAAACAACCACTGTGACGGATACTTTTGTATTCTGCAGCATGTTTCATCAGACCTTCTAATTTGCTCTTTTGATTAAGTGAACACTTTAACACGTACAGTAACATCTTAGCAGTATTTCTTGAAATGTCTACTAGCCCGCCTGTGACACATCTCACATGCTAAAAGGTTTCACTAATGCTTCCTTTGAAGGAAATTAGACATTGATTTTAGACAGGCACTTGCTGTCGATCCTGTGCGCTGTTGATGAAACGAATGGAAAAGATCAAGTGATTAAAATCATAAAACAGATCAGCTGATCAATATGCCAATATTCACTTTTTCACATCATGGCTCAATGAACCCGATGCAATACATCTATTCAAGGTAATTACATCCTTGAATTTTAAAGTGTACATGTTACAGATTCAGAAAAAAAGTTTTCTTTAGTAACATAATATGCACAGTGTATCAGTGTAAAGGGGAAAATGACATGCTTTTCCATTACCTTGTTATGAAGTTCTGCCTTGGTCTTTTCATACTTGTCTGTTGTGTCTGTGATATTTTTGTTGCATTTGATGATTTCCACTTTTACTGAAATGAAATAATAATAATAATAATAATTTGAGTGCTCTCAAGACAATATAAACTCAAAATTGAATTAATAAAACAAATTAAAAAAAAAATAGTGCGTAAGGTAAACCATGCCTGAGGCTAAGTTTAGTAGCACCCTTGATTAGCTTGAGCTGTAGTTAACGTATCAAAGCAAAAAATGTAAACATAAAAAAACCATACCTTCTTTTAATTTATGTGTCTGTTCGGCCAGTTGTTGTTCAGTAAGTAGAATTTGTTGGTAGAGTTTGTCGAGGCTCATCTTGCATAAAAACTGCTCTTATGGCTATGACACAAACCAAAATATAAGCGTTAACAAGTTTCATCCCTTTGTCAATTTCCGGTTTCCATTATTGGGCTTACTTTTTTTTCGACGCGAGTGCAACAAAAGCGGGAGGAAACACGTTCCGTCCGTGTTAAAACCCTCGTAGTCAACCCTTCTAGTGACAACGTGTACTTTTATCTTCGAAGTAGTCTGCGTGGATGTTTCGTGTATATTTTTCTAGTTTTGTCGCCACGACGTACTTTAATTGCGCTTTTGATTTTAGGCGTTAACGTACTTAAAACTTGGGAGTCGGTTTGCGGTGGTGGCACTGAACTACGCCTCTGCGATTCACTCAATATCGGGCTGATACGTTTTTTATTAAATGCTTTGCTAACGGCACACTAGGGGTAACATCAATCCACTCTGGACATTTGTCACACAATCTCACCCGTTCACCGATTTCCTCCATCCACCGCTGGGACTGGAAGAATAATAAAGGCTTCTGATCTGGAGCCATGAAGCGCATTACAACGTGAAACGTTCAATGACCCCGGGACTACATCATTCTGACATTCATTTTGAAAATTAATATCACATATTGATTGTGGCTTTTCATAAATCACCACACGATTTTTTTTTTCCCCCTGACTGGCATAGATCCCATTTGAGACGCCGAAACAGCAGAGTCATCAGAATGTAGGCAGACAATTAGCCTAGATAGAAGACTGTCGATCATTTGTGCCATTCTCTCCCTCTTTTTTACCCTTTCACTTCCTGTCGGCTTCTGGCATTTCATTTAGGTAAAACTAAATTTTAGTTTGAGCAGTGTCAACACTTTGCACATTAACTGAATTATACATTATCACAAAGGATTTGTTTTTAATAAGAGATTATTTTCTTAAATATCCCATGATGTGTGTGTGTGTGAATAATCCCCTCATCCCCCTCTTTACTGTGTGATGGGCTTGATTTACAGTTGAGAAGGCCTTCATTCGTAATTGATTTAGTCTGGTCTTTGGATGCAGAGTGAGGTTCATTGACATGGTCCACTCCCATGTATTTAGTCAAGTGGATTAGTCTCTGAAAACAGAGTAATCGATGAGCTATAGAAAGAGCTACCGGTATGTGCATGATCTTTGACTTTAACCTACAATCATAATTATGTTTTGTTAGCCTGCCAAACAATTTACAATTAACTAATTGGAGATAGGAATTGATCGTATCGTATGGAAAGAGGGAGGACACTATAGTTAAATACTTATAGTTAATATGCTTCTATGGGTAAATTGTTGTTCTCTGTATATCTGTCAAAAAGATTGAAAAACTTAAACTTAAGCTAGAAGAGCATTTTGCTTTTTTTTACCATACTCTTTCCAACCACCAATGGCATAATGTAAGAGCGGTGTTACATTAGATTCTAAAACCATTGTGGGTGCACATTGTGTTGAGCATTTGACCTCATATCTGTTTAAAGCACACGTGTCAAACTCAGGCCCAGGGGCCAAATCTGGCCCCCAGTGTAATTATATTTGGCCCACAAGATCATATCAAATGTGTACTAGAGAGATGGATAGTTTAACACAGGACAGGCCCAAAACTGTATATGAGGTAGAATTTTTTTTTAAATTTATTACAGTTAAACTAGGTTTACTATTCCTTTCTACACATAAATGTGTGGTGATGCTTTCAAAAAAATCTGCTGAATTTAGCTGTTGTTTTACTTCAGTCAACAGACTAATAGTCTTAAATTCTCTAAAATACAAATAAATAATATTAGCCCTAGTGATTAGCACCTTAACAACCAGGTAAAAAAAAGTCATAAAGAAGCAAACCAAGGGTATTAATCCTGACACACACGTTCAAGTTACCAATATCAATAATGTTTAGATTAATTATTTTTAACAAATGTTTTTTCAACAAACATTTCGTTCACATTTTGCCAAAGGATGAGACTAAATGTTCTGTAGTTTTTCATGGATGACTGGTTGATTGCTAATGGATTCTGTGCCTCATGTTGATTCCAGATATAAACACCCCTGGTTTAAAGGTATATTCCAAGGACCCTTCAAATGGTAAGTTTAAGACTATGAGGTCTTAGTAGCCCCGTGGCCCAGCTAAACCCACACTCTCATCATTCCATATGGCAATGATGAGAGCATAGTTTTAAATGAAGCTAGCAATCTGATGCCATTTTAGTGGCCATACAGCTAAAGAATGATATGATTTAATAACAGGTCAGACCTTGATTAACCTTAACTGTATAAGACGTTCATTACCTCATATTACATGTAAACCACCAGCAGATGGCGTCAGACACGCGGGGTCCGCTTTGTGTGGAGAGCGATGACGGATTTTCTTTCTCTGCTGACCTAGAGATTTATCTGACGAAAGTTACATCAGCATTTTATCGTAGAGGCTTTACAGTTGTCTATATATCAAAACCAGTAAAGTCCCGAACTGCTGGCAGACGAACTGTTGCAAAAGTCGCCTTTCCTCCTTCATTTGAAATGGGAAAAAAAAAAAATCTGATATATGTTAAGTATGGAACTGCTGATCCATATGTTGTCATTTTTCTTTTCACCCTGCCACACTGTTGAGGTTGGACTTTTGACCTCAGAGTGAATACAAAAACACTGTTGTGTGTGTAGGTGCCATCAATGAATTAATAGCAACAGCGACAAGTTGCAGTTTTTTTTTTTGTTTTTTTTTTAGTGTTCAGCATGCAGCAATCATATCCTCTGCCTTACTAATAAAAAGACCGTTAATTAAACTTGGAGCTAATTATTTTTGGTGCTGTCATAAATAGAAGTGAATGCGCTGTGATTACGGCTCCAGTGTTCTTGGATTTATGATGGTGATCGCTTTACTTGAGAGCACAGTGAGGTGGAAGTTGGCACTCTGCTCTTGCTGAATGCGCCACACACTCGCACACAGACGCAGCAGTAGCAGCAGCAGCAGCAGCGGCGGCAGCAGTAGCAGTGCTTTTCCAGCTGGCTGTGTGTGTGCGCTGAGACGCACAGGCGCAACGCAAGCATCCTGCTGCTCGGAGTTGGAGGACACTCACCTCTGCGCTGATCTGCTGTCTTTTGGTATTGGAGGGTGAAAAGAAACCGTTTAACGAGAACTAGGAAGAGGAAAGGCTCTACGTTTTGTCAAAAAAAAAATAAAAAAGTCAGAAAAACTGACCCTGATTCGGGACGGGACACTTTTGAGAGGAAGATTTTTTCAGGAGCTGGATCCGTTTCTCTTCCCTGCAGTGGAGCGCACGCTGCCGCGTCCTTTCGATGGATTTCAGAAGAGTGGAATAAAAGTTGCTTTTCTTTCGCACGTTTCTTTCGAATAAGGTTGTATTGTTGTCACGGAGACGATGATGCTTACACTACTCTATGTCCTTCTCTCTTACTTGGGTAAGTTTTCACCGGAGCAATGTCCAAACCAAGGTTTACTTTTATTTTATTTTTTTTACAGACATAAACATGTCTTTTAAAGATGCGTTTGAATGTGAGTTGTTGACGGGACAACGACTGCTATTTCAAGTGGCCAGTGTTGGAGCCGGTTGTCTGCGCTTTGTCCAAATGACCAAAATTTCGGTTATCACATCAGTACCAGTTTAAATATAAATTGTTTAAGCCGAAATAATTTCCTTTAGAGTTTTTTTTTTAATAATTTAGTGCGAGTTTTTGTCTCGGCGCGTTCTATGTTGGCACATTGAAAAACAAGATGTATATGTCGCATTAAATAACGGAGAGACGGCATATATAGTGTAAAAAAAACAAATTAAAAACAAAATATACCCACTGTGTTATCATTTAAATAAACATATTTTCTCGTGTTTCTCCTATTTGCAGATGTGTTTTCTTACGCGGAGGAGAGTCTGCGCGCCGGAGCCAACCGGTTGGACTGTGTGAGAGCCAGCGAGCTGTGTCTGAAGGAGCAGGCGTGCAGCACCAAGTACCGCACGATGAGACAATGCGTAGCCGGTGGCAAAGAGAGCAACTTCAGCATGTTGGCCGGACTGGAGGCCAAAGACGAGTGCCGGAGCGCCATGGACGCGCTCAAACAGAGCCCGCTGTACCATTGCCGGTGTAAACGAGGCATGAAGAAGGAGAAAAACTGTCTGCGTATTTACTGGGGGATCTACCAGACACTACAAGGTTGTTTTTCTTTTCTACTTCACAGTTTCGGCTTTTTTTTTTTTTTTCTTTTCTACTTCACAGTTTCGACTTTTTTTTTTTTGCTTTACAGATCATCGTCGTTTTCCTCATACTTGACCCCTGATGAGGTTTTCATAAACGCGGTCCCGCCTCCCTTAATCCCGATTCTTCGAAAGTATTGGAGCGTAAAGTTTCTCTTCCGAGCCGCAGTAATCTTAATGTCTGGACGGTGACAGTGGGGGGTGGGGGGGCTTCCTGTGCATCCAAGCCGCTGCCAGTAGGTTGACATTCAGTTGCGCAACCAACTGACCAACCTGCCCAATCAAGCGTGTAGCTGTGTGCCAGTGTGGCTATTGACTGACCCAAATAATCCATGGCACATACAGGCCACCGTGCGGGGCTGCCGAGCGATAAACAAAAACAGTGAGGGGTGAAGGATGGATCAGTGTATATAGAGTGTGTCCCTGTGAGGTTTGAGTCCCACTGTCGGGAAAGTCACAGTATAAACAAACCTGTTGCAGAAAAATTGTTGCGTAATAAAACTCATCATACTGCATATTCATGTCTTTATTTCAAACTTGTCCCTAGTACAGTGCGTTTTCCGACTCTGCAGTACCTCCGGTATAACGACACAGTGAGTTTTTTTTTTTTTTTTTTTTTTTTTTTTTAGTTGCTGATCTGCTGTCGAGCTGAGGCAGACATTGGTTCATTTATAAGTTCATATAATTATTGTGGTTCTCTCATGCTTGACGCGTAGTTTCCAAAAAACAACAAACAAACAAAAAACAAATGAATGGACTCAGATATATCAAATGACTGAGCAGGAGATCAGATGCTTCTTCAAACTAAAATAACTCTTGGCCTTAGTGTCGTCTCAAAAATGCATTATAAACACTTCTCTTCTCTACCTGCCTTGCCGGTCAATAACAGTTGATTATCTTCCTCCCAGGTAACGACTTCTTGGAGGATTCCCCGTATGAACCCGTGAACAGCCGTCTTTCTGACATTTTCCGCCTGGCTCCCATCTTAGGTAAGAGTGATGGCGCTAAAACAAATATCTGCTCTCTATCTGTCTTTCAATCTGTCTCCTACATTTGTCATTATGTCCCCCTGTCTCATTTGAGGAATGACCAACGCTCAAGCTCTGCATGCTTTCACTAAAGGTTATGTGTGTGTGTGCAATACTATGTATCCTCTGTCATACTCTGATACTGTCTGTGCTGCATGCTGGCTGGAAGTGACCTTGGTCGGGGAGCCTTAGTTCCGAGTTTCAGACAGTGAACAGATGCTGGGAATTCAGAAGCAGAAGGTTTTTCTTTTCTTCTTGTTTGTGGTGCATTTGCTGTTCACTTATAAAACCTCATTTGTTTTTGTTTTTTTGAGTTTTTTGTTTTAAGTGAATAAGTAGCTTGTTTGCAGTTTAATATGTTCTCTTCAGATCTCTTGAACAATCAATACCCTTTTTTGCCTGCAGATGGCGATGATATTCCCCTCTTCACATATGCACAGCTGTTCCGTGGTCGATATTGCTGTTGTTTAGCTCCTCTTAAATTTGTATTATTCGAGTGAAGGTGACGAGTTCTGTGTCAAATCAGACTGATGCTCTCAGCCTTGAATAACACCAATTAGTTGACCGTTTTTTTTTGACAAATGGATGGTTTTCCTAATAAGTTGACCGTTTTTTTTTTTTTTTTTGACAAATGGATGGTTTTCCATCCAACACCGCTGTCTCTTAATAATAGCAATTTTGTCATTTAAATGAACCAAATCCTCGACAGTGAACAGATGTTGTGACCTGTCTGCTGTATAGGAGACCAGTTTTTTGTAAACGTAAATTGGCATATTGGTAGACTGTCAGATAAAAAATAATCAGCTGTGCCATATGCTACACAGTACACAGCTGTAATGTCTAATTTTCTGGCAGGTCTCAGCGTTGATGACACACCGACAGAGCCATGGGAGTAAGAAGACAAATATATCTTGTCGGACCTATAAAGCGATACAGACAGGCAGTCTGTTTTTATGTCTTAATATATTTGCCTAATTTGATTGATGACGGGTATGGATATTTACATGTATATATCTATTGTAAGGAGACAAGTTCTCATAGACTCCCTGCTTTACAATTTATCTTAGGTTTGAAATAGAAGAATACACGTTAGGTGAGAGGAAAAAGCTGAAGTTACCATATGTTCTGTTTCTAGTCATCCATTCTCTCACTTATTATAAACAAACAAGATTGGGTTGCGAGCAAAAAATTCAACTGAAGCTATATATTGACTGATTTGACAAGAGGACACGTGTTATTTACCCAGAATCCTAACCTCAGACTTCTTTTCCTTCAAATTAGAAAAAAAAAAGGTTTAGTTAGAAGCTAGGTTGTTGTGCAGCATATTTTTAATTTAAAGTAATTGTACTAAAAAAAAAAGAACTGTCATGAACTTATGTTCATGCCAGAGGTCAGTTATTTTCACGAAGAAGATAGTTTGTAAAATTTTAATATTTATTGTGACCGAACATGTGTTGTATGAAGCCTGGAGGTGGTTTTGGCAATTTAACAGATGGTAACACTTATGAGAGGAGTAGAATGCGCGTTCCCCATTGTCGGTGATACTCAATATCCACAGTCTTCATTCAGTGTGTCAGAGCACAGTAGCTTTTTTTTATTATGATTGACAGCGTTGCATCTCTCCTTTGATGGAACATCAGATGAGCTTTTGGTCTGTTATTAAAAGTTCAGCCTGACTTCTTCTTTTATCAGAATACAGTGATGTAACACATGCACTGTAAAAATGATGAGTAGCAATCAATAAGAAGAGTTTCGAGGTGTGAATGCTGCCTTTTTGTATAACCGACCACTTCTAGGGTTTTTGGTATTTTTGTATTGAGGCATTCACTTACATTTTTTGGCTTTTTTTTTGACATCACAAATTTCTTGCGAACCTGGACACATTTTAGTTATCATTTTTTTAGTGTCATTTGTGCAGTCACGTGATCGCAGCTCTCAATCAAGATGCCCCAGCTTAGATAGATTTTTATGTCTTGCATTTGATTTGAACTCGATTTAAATGCATGAAATTAAAAGAATGCAGTTTTTTAAGATGGTGTGTGGCGTTTTTAAATATAATTTAAAAAAATAATAATTAGCTAAAAATCAATTTTATCAGTCATGTTTTATATTTATTGTTAGATATTTTAGATGATCCCATTTGAATTACAGGTGACCCCATGTGGGGTTGTAACCCCAATGTTGAAATATTATATTATTTATATATATTTTTTTCTTTTCTACATATGGACTATTTTTCAAATGTCTATGTGTAATAAGGAGGATGTTTGTTTTGATCATTTTGAATTATTGGTACACATATAAAAATCATTCATTCATTATATTTATGACGCCACCATAAAAAATAAACAAACAACACAAAACATTTTTTTAAAAATTAAGAAATTAAAAGTTTAAAAGTTTATTAAGTGGTACTTCTAATAAAATGCATAAATGTAAATGTACTCTATTCCATCCCCTCAATTTTGCACATTCAGGCAGGTGATGTAAACACAGGACATTTTCCCTCTATTCTCTCTTCCTCTGTCAGTGTTAACACATGCAGAGTTAGTGCACGTGTTCATATGTAAATCTGTGTTCATATGTATATGTGTAAATGTCTCGATACCATTACAAACCGATAAGAGTATGAGTATTTTCATACGTGAACCATCACATATAAGCCTAAGACTTAAACAATCATGATACTCAAAATTAAACCTTCTGCTTAGGTTTTTCAATTTCAATTAAAAACACTGTCACTTAAAGCAAGCAGCCATATAGCCGTCTTTCAATAGCAACAAATTAACACACAATGTTGGTTAAATAAGTCTTCACAAAAAAGTGACTCACGATATGAACACCACATCTACTAAACCGTGAAGAGATGTTAGCATTTACAGTGCTAGGAAGCGTTTTCAGATGTTTTATTTAATGCTTTTATAACAAAACAAATCCTAGGCCTTCCTCCTTTTCCTTGTCACTGATTTTGAAATACCTCCAAACTGCTAACATCATTGATGTTTAAAATGAAAAGACACTGCACTGAAAGGCAAAACACACTACTGGCTGACGCATGTGCAACTGGCTTTGGTACAAATCTTCTACAGAAAAATGCCACATGTTTTCGAGTTCTTTGAATGTAGTATCAGGTTTAATATGGAAAAATGCCACATGTTTTCGAGTACAAGTCTTTGAATGTAGTATCAGGTTTAATATATGACTAGCAAAGCTGGAAGTTACCTTGCCCTTGAGCTATGTGTTATTGATCAAGTATGAGGGTTCTGGCGCAGGCATGTTTGTCAGTCCTAGTACCAAACTACTGTACTGTACCTAGATCTTATACAAGATGCTTGATTTCCATATTACGTGACCCCTTCTTCCTCCAAATTTTTCTCGAAATTGTGGAAGATGGCGGCAAATGGACTTCAAAGTTTAGAATGACAGGGGTGGTACATTTGGATGCCCAGACTAATAACCCCTGTGGGCTGCGGCAGTCATTAGCCAGTTAGAAACTGCCGCTTGTTTTTGATCTGTCACTTTCTTGCACGTCTTTTTTGGCAGTTCTCACACTTTAGTTTAAGACAAGTTTAAAGTGATTATTTCAAGTGGCGGTGTTCTTTCTTCTTGTTCTGAACACCGGTGGTATATAATCAGCTCTGTACTGCAGAATCCTGACTGTGTTTTCTACAAATGAGTCTGAAACTGCAGAAAGGTGCTGACATAAAGTCTGAGATGAGGACTGTCTTGTGGAGTATCTTTGGGTCTCTAATGGCGTGTAGATTCAGAGAATGTCATCTCTGGAAGTGGTTCATTTTTGGAACAATTGCAAGCAAGAGCGAGAGCTTGGGTCACACTTCTGAGGCTCGTATGTGCTGGCGTCATTGAGTACAGGGTTGGCTGACAACTTCAGTATGCGTATTTCTTTATCTGCCAGAGGGATAGTGGCGTCTTTATTCAGTCCTTGCTGAGTGACATCAGGTCTTTCTTTTCTTGGACGGACAGACTGGAAGGAGACGCCTTAGTGTTGGAGAGTTCTGCTAGTGTGTTATTTTCTTCTTGTTCTTTGCTGGATATTTTGTGTGTATAGCAGAGGTGGGACCAAGTCATTGCTTTGCAAGTCACAAGCAAGTCTCAAGTCTTTGCACTCAAGTCCAAATCAAGTCTCAAGTCAAAATAGGCAAAGTCCGAGTCGAATCCAAGTCAAGACTGAAAAGTGTCAAGTCAAGTCCCAAGTCCTGCCGTTTCTGTTTTCGAGTCCTTTCGAGTCCTTCCACTCACTGCCACTCGTTTTTTGTTGACCATCTCGTAGTTTTTAAATCCGAACAACACAATCTTTGGTATCATTTTCTCTAACCGGCGCATTGTTTGACAGCTCTTTCTCATTGGTTGTCCCACAATTTGATTGGCTCGATATTATCGCGTCAAAACAACGTGGGTCTAATTTGATTGGATGTTGTGCCGACAGCACATACACACACAGACGCACACACGTACACAATGAGAGATACACAGCGCTCCTCAATAACTTACTTTATAATCTTTGGGTTTTGGAGAAAGTATCAAGTCTTGTCGAGTCAAAGGGCTCGAGTCCAAG